CGGGGACTGGGCCCCCAGCTCTCTGCTCTCCAATGGGCTGGCCACCCACCCGCCCAGCGGGAGGGGGCTCCAGCTATCAGGGTGCAGGGCGCTGAGCGGGACCGAGCGCCAGCATCGTCCCTGCACCCACATCCATTAGCCAAATGATTAAGTATACATCAGCCTGTGCTATAATAAAGAAAGTGTAATAGGGCGTTGTCACAGGATCAATGTTTCCTGGTTTAAAAATAAACATTAGCATTTATCTAGCGGCAGAAAACTATCATCCCACAGTACTGTTTCATTCAACCGACACCTTCTAATCAAAGCAATCTATAACGTGGCAACATTCCAAGGTATCGTAATTGCAAACATTTATGGCGAGGGAGATAATAGCTATATTTTTGACACTGATTCTTCTTCCTTTTTTTACAATTTGATGCAGACATTTTCTAATAAAGCAATCCCATTAAGCAGGGGGTGAGGGGCTTCTGGTGTAATTATATTAACTGAGACAATCCCTCATCCACCTCCCACCCAGTTCCCCTCTTAACGATGACGCATGACCGTCAACGCGGGGTTCTGTCTTTTAAATTTCGTTACACACCTCTGTGGTGAAAAGAAATTAAGACAGGACCTGTGTTGCTTGTTCTCATTTTGTTGTTGTTGAGCGAGCATGCGCACATGCGTGTGTGCGCGCGCACACGTGTGCACAGCAGACCAGATGGATTCCAGAGTCTCTGCACGTGCCCTGTGGTGAAGCTGCTGCTGCTGTAGATGCCTCCACGGAGCCTCCGTTCTGACCCTCTCCTTCCCCACCCCCAACTCAAACCCCTGCCTCCTAAGGTTCTCACCTAAGCTTTCACGTTGTCATCGGTAATCGAATCCCATGAAGATGGCTCGTAAGAGCGCACATCACTTACGCAGACATTCTGTAGGCCCCAAACAAGCCAGCCAACCATGGAGCAGATTCTGACCCACAGACACCATCCAGGGCACAAAAGAAATGCCTCTGTGGGCTTCCCAGACTAACTCTTTAGAGCGATAGAGAACACTTTCTCCTGCAGAGGCCTGGTGGTTCTCAACAGCTGACCTTGAGGTTAGCAGCCCAGCAAGGCACAAAATCCACCACGCTACCACCATGGCTCCTGTTTTGAAACTGTACTCTTCACTCACTAAGTTGAACTGTTGTGGCTCCCAGAAGCCTTCAGGGCATGTTTTGGGCCAAGCTTTAGCGATGGCCTCCACAGGCGCTCAGCTGCCCGGGGTTCGTCCAGGCTCTGGGGCTGTTGTTCAGTGTCATGCTTATCACCGAGGCTGGTCTGGGTGCCTCCGGCTAGGTGCGTAGGATTTGTGCGTTACGCTGGGCTGCGGACACAGGAGGGAAAGGGCTTGTGAACCTCGTTGCAGGTCTGTTTTTTTTTGTTTTTGTTTTTTTTTTTTGCAGGTCTGTTATGGGATCTCCCCTGAGCACATGGGGCCACTGGCTTGGCTGCTTCCCACCTGCTTTAATGAACTGCTCCGGCCTCCCTTCTAATGTCCCGGTTACAGGAAGCCTCCACTCGAAGCCACAAGGTCACCCCTGGCCATGGGTGCCTGTCAGTGTCCCTCTGAAGTCCCCCCCCCACCAACTCATTCCTGGGGAGCAGTGGGTACGTGACCCTGCAGCCTGAATCCTGTCTTCCAGAATAAGATGCCTCTGAGCAAGCACCCCGCACCCATGGGCCACCTCATCAGTCACCGAGTGACAGCGGGCCAGCACGAACAAGAATGGCCGCCATCACCAGCCAAGCCTAGTCCCCAAGGCCCTCTGGGGACTTCTGAGCTCGTGGCACCTGGGTTAGTGGCCTAGGCCTCCTCGCACGGCAGTGGGTGACAATCCCAGGTCTCAAAACCCAACCTTGGCTCTCTGGCCAGCCTGTAATAGCTCTAGGGCGCCGTCTCCCTCGCGGAACGTTGGTTTCCCTGCACGCCAAGCAGCTCCCTCACCCCGTCCTGTTGTGCGAGAGTAGGCGTGGGGGGGGGGAGAGGCCATCCTGACAAGAAGATTCTCTGAAAGGTTCCTATATAAGCAGCTCTGAGGACTATTATTAAGAGAAAGGGCCTTTCCCAAACCCAGCCAGGTCCTGGAATTCCACCAGAGGGCCCCCATGGGGGGTGGGGGTGGGGGGGTGCTCCTCTGACCACCTTGGCTTCACTAAGCAGAAATGGCGGCCTTATCAGATCATGAGGCAGACCCAGGGTCTTTTCTGAGTCTTTTCCAAACCACCACCATTTCTGCTGATCTCTGAAAGCCCTCGCCTACAGCTGCCCGGCCCCAGCCCTAACGGAGATGGGTATCCACAGAGGGGCAACAGGGACTCATTCGAGTTTCCCTTGCTCTCCTTCCGCCCCCCTTCACCCTGCCACGCGCACGCACGCACGCCAGGTAGGCAGGGGCAGGGGGCGGCCCTGGGCTCCCCCAGAGGCATCAGGGATGGAAAAGGAGTGTTCAAGGTGACTTTGAAGCCCAAGTCCCCATCTCCCTTTTTTTGAACCAAGAACTTGCAGAGATCATACCTGAGATTTGCAAACGGGGCAGTCTGCTACAGAAAGGAAACTGGACAAACAGGGTGGTACCTAGTGGGAAAAACAAGCAGCCCTCGCCAACGCAGACGGCGTGCTCTCGGGCGTCTGAGAGGCCGTTTAGCACCCAGTTATCACCGTGCCCCTCCTGGCTGACTCTCGGCAGCGACGGCGAGCCTGGGATCTGTTTGAAAGCGTTTAGGTTCTCATGGATCACTGGAGCCTGCGTCCCCTCCCTGTTAGGGAGGCATAAGCTGCCTCTCTAGGCATAAACTGTCCACTGGTAAAAATCAATTTTGATTTTATCAGTATTTATTACTGCTGGTACCAGCAGTTTAGAAGACCGGAGAGGAAAAAACATGCAAACAAGGGGGGAGGGGGGTAAAATAATAAAGCTGGATCCTCAGACCCAAAAATAATGGAGCCTGCTGTCTTTAAGAGGCGTTTTGCATTGTGCCAAGGGAGCTTAAACTATCCATTTAAAAATGCAATCAATAAAAGTGTACGGAACTCTGTTCTTGCTCACTCTTGTATACATCTGTTAGCTCCGGGGCCGCTTCTGAGTGAGGGCCTGGAAACCGAGCCCGCTGGCAGTGTGAGCGCGCACACACACACACACACAGAGCCAGGAGGGCACAAGGGACAAACTCTCACACACATGCACACTCAGACACGGAAGCGCACACACAGGAACTGAGAGAGCCCAAGGGCACCACATACAGCACACAGCCAACTGCACTGCCTCCCCCCCACCCCCTCACACACTCATGTACCCTCAGTCACGCGCTCACACGGACTCACATTCAGATGCACTTACTCTGGCAGCCTCACCTCCCAATCATTACACACACACATTCTCTCTCCTCCCAACTTTCTTGCCTAACTGGGGATGGGGAAGCCAAGGCCCCACGGGGTGAAGCAGCTTCCAGAGCCTTCAAGCAAACTCACCCCTCTGCATTCACACACCTGCACACGCTCACTCACACCCACACCTCCTCCCTAGGCCAGGCCAGCTCATCCCCAATTATTGGTGTGGACCACACGGTCACCTCTCCACCTGCCACGCAGCCATGCCAAAGACACTCCACATAGGTTGGGCTCTCGAACCGGTCCTGCATGTCAGTGGTGCCAGCTCTGAGTGTTGTCCCTTCACACCCTGGGCTTCCCACAAACACCCACCTGGCCCAAGAGCCCCACAAACAAGCACATGCTCCCCACGTCCCAGCCTTGGAATGGAGTGCTCTGAGAGGCTGGCTAACAGGGACATGGTCGGGTTTTCAGACCTGGGCCTGTCTGTCACTCAGTGCCATTGAGAGTCCCCATGCATGGTGACCCCCAGCACAGGGTGAAGGAAGCGGGTCCTAGGGCCTCCATGGCCGTCAACTTCTGACGGGAGCAGGCACCAGCACCCTCATCTTTCTGAACCAGCGACCTCGAGGTCAGCAGCCCAGTGCCTAACCCCCTGCGCCACCGGGTCCTGAGATTAGTGGCAGCCCGATGCCCTTATTTCCCGCGACACTGCATGTGACCTCGTATGCACAAAGACCTCACCCAGAGGAGTCCCAAGCCCATCTCAAGAGCATGATCGCTCTGGGCCAGGCTCCGGCTCCTCAGCCACAGCCTCAGAGGCCGGCTGGTCCGTGGGCCTCGGCTTCTGCTGGGCTCCCCCTCCCCCTTCCACCCGGGGCTGTGTGCAGGCCCTTGTTTTCGGATCACGATCCGGGGCCGGCATGGCTGAGGCGGCCCTTACAGCGAGTGAGCGCACTGGCCTCTGCTCTCTGGTAATGGAGTCACACTGCGGCCCTGGAGACCTAGTGAAGGCCCTTCTAGCTACACCCTTCCTGGGCTGCAGGGCCTAAATTCTGTAGGGGGTGCTGCTGCCCCTGGGCCAGGGTCAGGGCCACTTCCCCCTCCGGAGCCTGCTCCTCCTTAAGACCTGGCCTGCCCAGCGCAGGTGTTACCTGGGAAACGAAGTCTGTTGGGCCTGCGCTGCAGGGGCTACTAGTCCCTGGGACTGGCACAAAGGTCCTTTCAGGCAGCCGAGCCAGCCGGCCGGGCGTCTCCCACCCTGGCTGAGAGCGGCGGGCCCAGTGTCAGCACCCCGCCCGCCCCCACCTCACCTGCAGCATGGGCAGGTTGCCCTGGGGGTCGCTCCTAAACCACGTCCTCATGACACCTTTGAAACCTGGTCCCTTCTACAGGGCGAGAGGCAGGTGGAGCGAGGCCCAGGGCGACGGCTGGCGCACCGTCTGCAACCCGACTGTCGGGCTCAGCTGAAGCCCACCCAAACTGCGAGCATGTCTGGCGCACACACGTATGAGTGTGTGTCTAGAAGAATCCATCATAGATGCTCTTTCTCCATAGGACCTACTTTAAGCCAACTTTCCAACGACTAATAAGGCGAGCATCACAGCCACCCTCCCTCCCACCTGACATGTGACAAAATGACAAAAGAATTTGTATTTCAGGGGCTTTATTTTAATATTCTTTTTCTTTTTAAGATGCTACAGAGTCAAACAGGATTGGATTGGTCTTTTATGGCGTAAAATTAACTCACACACACTCCACTGCGCCCTGGGGATCATCTGAGGGGCCCTCCTCGCCAGCTCCGTGCCCTGCCTGTCCCTGTGAACCAGGACCCCCAGCAAGCCGGGTCAGGGGATGCGTGCTGGGAAGCGGGGGGCGGGGTACACACAGTCATCTCTTCAGCACTTGTCTCTCTGCCGGTGCTGGAGAGCTGACCGTTGCTACCCAGACTGCCCCTGTTCACATGCCCCCAACAGCAGCTACCTACTGACAATGGGAAACTGCCGCCCGCCTCCCCAGCGCGCATGCGCCCACTGGCACCTGGAGGGGAGGCGCCTCCGCCCCGGCAGCACATGCCGGCCGCTCCCACCCACCGGTGCTGGGGGCCCAGGTAACACATGGGCCAGCATTCATTATGATCTCGTGACAATGGGGCAGCATGAGATGACACAAATTACATAAGTTAAATATGCATTAAACACCTCTGGATAACAGTTGGAGTTCTCGATGGGACCCCACAGTCATTTCGCTTGGCCCCTTTAAGGGAGCACAGCCTTGACTCATTTCCAAAGTGCTGGGTCAATCCGTCAATTCATGCCTCCCACTGGAGACCAGCACGCTCTTCTGTTCCCACTGCTCAGCAGGCCTGGGGCCCTGGGGCAGGGCTGAACTGGTGCAGGGAGTGGGGGCGATCGGGAGCGAGCGCGGCTCGGTGGGCTACTCAATGGGGTGGCCACACTCCCCTCTGTGCGCCTCCAAGCCCCTAGACCTGGAGGAAGCGTCACGTACCAGGGCTGCAAAGCAAGGCTTGAAACGGCAGTGACAAGATGTCACTGTGGTGGGAATGATGGCTTCGTTCCCTTGCCAGTTACTGAAGCTCCTTCTCCCCCATCCTGCACTATACATCGTAACTCTCTACAAGCTCATTATATTACGTTATATCTGTGTGTGTGTGCGTGCGCGCGCGCGCGCGCGTGCACGCGCATGGGGAGGGGAATTAAAGGCAAGACCTGTGAGATGTCATCATACATGAATTTCGTTTTACACATGGTTATGATAAATTTAAATCCCATGATAGGAAGACCCATCCATCCACTCGGCCATCCTTCGCATGCAGCCTCTACAAGGCGATCTTCCCGATGATGACGCCCACGATGAAGAACAGGACCACCAGGGCCAGCAGCCGGGGACTGACGCCCTCCTCCCTCCCGGCCGTGGCCAGCGCCGACGCAGGGCTGTTGGTCGGTGTGCTCTTCCTCATCCGCAGCCCGTCTTCCTCCTGCGGGATCAAGCTCAGTCAAGCGGGGGCACAGCTCAGTCTGGCCCCCGAGTGGCTCCAGCCGAGCTCCCCACACTCCAGAGACCCTCATGCCAGCCGGGCGGGGCCAGAGAACACTGCTGTCTGGCTCGCCCTGCCCAGGAATCTAATTCTGGCAGCGCCACCCCTATCCTTCCTGCTTCTGATCAACCCACCCACCAAAAGCCCAGAGCCCTGCCATCAGGTGGACTCCGGCTCACAGTGGCCCTGCAGGACAGAGGAGCCTGTCCTGGAAGCTTCCAAGACTGTCCATCTTCACGGGAACAGCGAGCATCACCTTGCTCTCTCAGAGCGCCTAGTGTGTTTGAACAAGGCTAAAAAGGAGCGGCGGCGTGGGAGACCCGAGTGCCTGGCCCCGGGGATTGGTGTGGGCGCAGAATGAGCATCTGCAGCAGGATTGATCCTCTGTCTCAGACACCTTTCTAACTTGCGTGCGAGATTTTCCTGAAGCAGCAACGTCCCCACATTTACAAGCGTCCTCACCCCCAACGCCTCAGGTGTGTGAGGAAGAGGTCACTTCCCTCCTTCCACCTCCACTCTGCGGCCACAGCTCCTGCAAGGGGCTCTGCAGATCGGACCAGGCCACACAGGGAGCCCAGCTGTCTGTGGGCTGCCCACGAGGCCAGGCCCCGGCCCACTCCTCCCAGCCTGCCTCTCCCTCTCTGCCCTCAGCCCACTCCTGGCCCAGAGCGCCTCCCTGCACTTGAAGAACAGGGCGCCGGAGCCCAGGGAGCTGCCTCTCCAGAGCCCCTGGCTGAGGCCACTGCCACTCTGCTCTGTGAGGGTCACTCTGCAGGGCCAGTCACCCAAGCCGTCTCACAACAGGGGCCCCCTGTCCAGATTCTTGGGGTCCTATTTCCAGACAGCCTGCTCTTGGGGCACGGGCCACTCTGCACAGTGACAAGCTGGGGCTCACTTTAAAGGCATGAGGCACAGCGAGGGCTAGCCCTTCACTTGACCAGTTTCCGTCAAAGCTAGCCCTGCCCCGGGGAAACACGCACCGGCGGAGCCATCGTAGGCATCGCTCGGATCCTTGGCCCAAGTGAAGCACCGACTTCTGACTTGCCAGCACACCAACCAGTTCTGCTCAGGAGGAAGTCAGTGGCGGCTCCCACGGGCCACCAGCGTCCTCCATGTCCTACACTGCCGGATGGAAGAGAGGCCGAGAGGGATTTGTTACATGCACCTGGCCTCTGTGAGTGAGAGAGTGAAAACCTATTACATGCTTGGGCGACATGATCAAGATTAAGAGAACAGATCCACCTAAAAAACTTAAACTGCAACAGAGGCTCCTGTGATCATCCACTCCTGCAACAGACAGCCTCCAACTCGTGAAGCGCGTCAGCTGACCAGGGGCACGGTGGCTCGCACACATCAGAGCCAGGGCAGGTCCGACCAGTCTTTCCTGATAATGCCCTCTTCGCATCCCCACCCCAAGGGACCCTAGCAGCAGGGCAGTGGGGTACATGGTGAGCTGCTAACCACAAGGGCAGCACTTCAAAACCACCAGCCACGCCATGGGACCAAGATGAGTCTTTCTGCTCCCTCAGAAGCACAAAGGGGCAGCTGCACCTGTGCTACGGCCGCGACGAGTCGGAATTGGCCTGATGGCGGCGAAGGCGGGCCTCCTCCGCTAGAATCTCAATCTCTGGTGACGCTGGCCATGCCCTGCGCCCGCCTTCTCACCGCTCCACCTCTGAGCAGACACCACTGCCACAGCCCTTCTGCCCTGCTGCCCCCTCAGGCACTCAGTCACTCTAGGCTGGAACGGAGACTGTCCGAGTGACGGGGCGAGAGGAACGGGCACGAGACCCACCTGCTGCTGTGCTTCAACCTGAAGACCTATTTTCAGTGTGTGTAGTGGAGGGCGGGGACTTGTGTTCTGAAGAGCACAAGAGTCTAAATTCCAGGGAGGTGGGGGAAAAGGACAAGGGAACAAGTGATCCAAATCGGTGGTGAGGAGGGGGTAGGAGGCCTGGTAGGGTGTGACCAAGAGTAACATAACCCAGAGGAGCTACTGTAATGCAAATGAAGACTGAGCATGATCGTGGGACAAGAGGAAAGTCAAAGGAAATAAAGGAAAGAGCTAGGAGGCAAAGGGCATTTATAGAGATCTAAATAAAGGCATGTACATATGCAAATATATTGATATATGAGGTTGGGGAAATAGATTTATGTGCATATATTTATAGGTTTAGTATTAAGGTAGAAATAGACATTGGGCCTCCACTCAAGTACTCCCTCAATGCAAGAATGCTTTGTTCTATTAAACTGGCATT